GCAGTACTTTTTTGCTGACTCCAATAAATGGGCTGAGAGCTTGCGGTAAAGAGTTTCCCTCTAACTATACACTTGTCATAACTACTGCGGAATGTCGGTTGTAGATTACATGTTAGTACAGCAAAAGCCCGTTTTGGTTTCTGAAAGTTTTTTCGTATCAGAGGATAACTTTTCGGATCACCAACCTCTTCTGGTTTGCCTACGCCTTCCAAAATCTGCGAAACAAAAAAGAATACAGAAGAGAAAACAAATAACAGCAACGTCTCGAACACAATATCCCGTTATCGGCACACTACTGAACACAATCGTGGAAGAAGTTTTTGCAAACAGGAGCGAAGAATGGTTGACAGTAGCTGTTATGTGTATCGCATTGTCACCATCGTAGCACACAGACTACAAGATTACGGTATCAGTGAAAAAGGTCACACGTCGCAATCAGACGCGCACAATCAATGCAAAGAAATAACAGCACTACGACAAGAAAAAAACCGGTTATGGAAAGAAACGAATGCAACAAAAGATGAAAGCACGAAAAAATCTTTGATGGAAGCATTTTGCACAATTCGGAAAAACTACCAAGAAAAATTACGAAATAAAAACCGTGCATCTCACCGCCAAGTATGGCAGGAAGCTGAATCGCTTCGGAACTCGAACGCTGAGAATTTTTGGACTTTTTTAAATCGTTCAATACGGATAGCACTACACCAGCAGATTTAATCGAGATGAATCAGCTGTTCGCTTTCTTCTCCAACCTACCGAAACCGCGTAACCTTCCTTATGCGATAACATACGACGCTCTTCCCTCGCTTCCAGTTCTTGATGACCAAATTAGCACTAACGAAATCCTGAATGCGCTATCGCGGTTATCAGATACGTCTTCAAGCGGCGAATATCATTTATAAACGGAATGTTTTAAGCAGCTGATGAGAAATGAAAAATTTTTGCATGTGTTATGTTCATACTTTAACACAATCTATAATAATGCAACGATCCCACCGTCTTGGCTAACAGGAACTATGTCTCCGATACCAAAACCTGATAAACCCGTATGCGCTGAAAACTGCCGACCAGTGGTAGTCGAAGTACTGCCTATGCGAATTCTTTCAATGATTCTTGCGGAAAGAGTTAACCAATGGTCAAATATCAATGAAGATCCGGGAGGCTATCGAAAAGGAAGAGGATCAACGGACCATGCTTGGTTTTTGCGCACAATATGTGAAACGCAGTTGGTACAAGGAAATGAGGTTCATGTCGCATTCCTTGATTATTCGTCTGCATGTGGCACGGTAAACCATGATAAACTTTTTCAAATCCTCCAAAAATCAGGCATATCACCTTAGCTGCGGAAGTTTCTGGTGGCAATGTTCGAAGGCGGTGCCAACCGCATCAAATGGGGCGGTAAAATGTCAGCTACATACGCACTGAGTACGTAGCGGCGTACGGCAGGGAAATCCTCTTTCTGCGATTCTTTTATCATATATCTCGATGCGATTTCGATTTATGTTGCAAGAAACCGAATCACTCTTATATGAATCGGAAGTGTGCAGATATTGTTGTTAAAATATGCGGACGACATCGTTTTAATTTCCCGATGCCAGTTGGAATTGCAGATACCAGCTGATCGAGTTGCTCAGTTTTCTGCCGATTTCGACTTAACTTTAAACATCAATAAGTCGTTTACCATGGTAGTTAAAGGTGCTGAACGCTGTGAGTTTATACTAAAGCTTAACGTATCGGGACAGCAGGTCGAACAGGTTAAGGAGTTCAAATACTTGGGCCTTGTCATTAACGAAAATTTGTGTTTGAGTAAAATGGCCGCACATCGACTGAGAAGCTGTGAAAAGGCTTATTTCAGAATGAAGCAACAACTGATAAAGTATAAACATACGACCAGGTTACGGTTTTCCAACGGCAGAAACGATTTTGAAGCAACGGTTGGAGGTATTAGCTGTTTCGGCTCCGAGTTGATTGGGCCAGACCCATCTGTCAACAAGTTTCGCCTTAAATCTTGGAAAGGTCAAATTGATGTCGAACGCCCCTCACGATGCGTTGTACTACCTCACTGGATCTTTCCCACTGCACTTTCGTGCGATCAAAATGCAGTTAACGTTTATTAAAAAACTTCTGCGCTTTTCGAACGGCTCACTTTTAAAGGCAGCACTAATTGATAGCATAAACAACGCAGTCAAAAGGAAAAAAACCTGGTTACGCCGAGCGTTAAAATATCTAGCAGAAGTAATTAATTTTTCTTGGAAATCACAAGATATTCTGTTAGAAGAACTAAGAAACGTTACAAACGTCACACGAAACGTCACAAAAATTATGTCACTGATTGAAGGAAAATTTCAGGAAGCTTTAAAAGAGCGAGTGCGAGCTAACGCCGCTCGAAGCGGTCGTTTTTTTTTGTTACAGGTACACCCAACTATGCCGTTCAATGTAACGCTGCTACCTCTCCCTACGTATCTTTTGAGGGCCCTTTTCGCGTTGTTTACTTCGGGACATCATTTTCGGATAGAAACTGGACGTTGGGATGGGACCATACACGACGAACGATTGTGCCCTGGTTGCGAGGCGGTGGATACGGAGGATCACAGTCTGTTCCTGTGCCCGGCTTTTGAACCTCGTCGTCAACTAATTTGGTCACATATTGAAACCCTGAAACCGGAATGGATGACACTGAAGGACTCATTTTTTAATATCCTAAGACAGAATGTGTTTATTATTGACGATGATAAAAGTTGTTGTTCTGGATCACCAAACTTATATATTTTGTCCTTAAGGACGCTCGTGATGTATACAACGGCACGCTACGATTACTGCCGAACTTTAGCTGAACGATTCCAATGTTTTACCTAATACAAATTTTTATTTATTTTTCATTACTTTTATTATTCTATTGTTTCTAACCCGCGACATCATGACAATGATGTCTCTTCCAGACTATGTGTCCTGGGGAAAATAAATTCATTCATTCATTCATACACACATACATGCGTATGAAAATGAAAATGTACAATACTGAATCGCCACTAGAATTGCACGAACTTGAAGACTCTTTGCCTGCCACCAAGATCACGAGCAGCAGAATGTAATGTAGACAGATTAGCTAATTTTTCTACTTGCAATCTTATATTTCGGAGTATAATCTGCTTTGCTCTGTTATGTTCTGCTTACAATTACACTACATGTTCAGCAGTCGTTGAAGTTATACTGCCGTTGAGCAAAATTTACTACTTTGCATACTATGTAGTAGAAGTGCAGTAAGTACACAGTGAAGTAGCGCAAAACGGGTGTTGTAAGCAAATAAACTGCTTTCACTAGTATTAGTACTAGTATTAGGCTATTTCGCAATTACCCATGTCGATAAACTACCGCAACTATAAACGGTGACAAACTTGGCGAAAATTGAGAAGAACGATAATGTTCAAAACAAAGGATAAAACTGCGTGGCACAGCAGAGCCGCGGCGACCAGCAGCCGTGCAGGCTCTGATGGTCGTCCCGACTGTTTACGCTACTGGTGGCAGATTCTTGTCGGCGACAGAAGAACGGCCGGACGGCCACACCTGTGTTCAAGCTGAAGATGGCGACGTAGTTGGCAAGCTAGATCGCAACTTTCTCGCTCGTAAATACAAAATGTTTACTTGTAGTGCCAATGCTGCAGTTATGCTATTTTCTATGCTAAACACAACACTCAGCGTTTTATTTTAGATATACAGATGCTGTAAACGTTTTAGATTTAAGAATGCTGTTTTCAAGAATAAATATAACGTTTAGCGTTTGCTATGTTGTACAAACGTTTTTTGCTCAATTTGTAATTGGTGCAATCATTTTATTTTTATTTACTGGCTTCTTAAAGAAGTGCCCGGAAAGTACCCGGAAATAAGAAGTACCCGGAAACTGACTTACTACGGCTGCTTGTTGGGGTGCTCCATTTGACCATGTAATGAGGTAGACAGATCAAAAATAGAGGGCAACGTTCGTCATCATTAAACTGTAATATAACAGAATAATAATAACCCACCAACTTAAACACCGCGTACGCTGCAGCAAGGACAAAACTGCTATAGCGAATACCACTGATGACCCTCGTCTCGCTGACACTTTTCTGAAAAGGCCGCATGACATGGGAAGAAAACCTAGAAACCATTCAAACAAATCAACTAAGCCCTGCTGAAGTAGCCTCGTGGAAATGTCAAAAGTTTTGGTACATACAAGAAACCACCCGTGCTGATATTATTTTATAATAAACCTAATTTAAGAATATAACCAGCCTAACAACACATTTTAATTAGAAACTTACCAGTCGGAACTTGTTATAAATGTCTCTTTCATGAAAGTGCAGATTCCTTGAAGAATAACTATACTCTAAAAACCATTGCCCTCGTGAAAATGAAAGTTACAAAAAAGATCTAGTGAAGAATTCGTGTACTATAGAAGTTACTACTAAACGTTGTAAAATATTTTGTGAGCAGCCGATTCTATGTCGAAGTTTAATGTAACTTCTCATCTTTGTTTACTTACACTGAATGCTACACAAAACTTCCACGATAGTTCAGCATTTTCATTATCACAAATCGAGAACAGACGCGGCAAAATACTATTCGTAAAAAAATTAAAAAAACAATCAGAACGTCGCAATTATTTGCTGAAGTCTGTCCGAAATTACTGATTTATTTAAGTAAGCCAGGAGAAAAACAACAAATTTATTGATGCGAAGCAAAAAATAATAGGGCTAAGATGATGATTGTAGGAAATGAGCATCGTCGAAGAGGGTTTAAACAAATCCAGGCAGAGGAAATGCGATCGGCTAATTCTAACCAGAAACACCAGAGTCGCAGCGGTCACGACGGCATGCGTGTCAAAGCCAAAGGAGCATACATCTGGAAACGAAGAACGTAATATTCTCAAGCGAATTAAAAATTATCAAGTGAAGTTGGACAAGAAAAATTGGAAAAACATATGTTTTTGCTTACTTTTCTACGTGTTGCACAAAATGACGAGCTGAGTACTCCCATCCTTCACAGTCTCGTATGTCACCAGCTCGATCAGGTCGTCCGTCGCCGGGATGTTCAGTGGCGGGATTTCAAAAATTGTATGCGGTGGAATCACTCGCCCCCTCGTGGCCAGCGGTCCAGAAGCCAGAGGACACTCCCGAGCGTTGCACTCAGTTGCATGTGCAACATCACCTTTATAAAAAGGTCCAGACAAAGGAGCGAAGCAGCCTCGGCATTTCAGGTAAAACTTTTTCTGCAGAGAAAATATTTCCATCAGAAACAGAATTATTAGCCAGAACTGGAGTCGACTCCTTAATTCTTACCGCGTGAATCCTCTTCATATGCGTGGTAATATGCAGCCAGTTGATATTCTCACCGCAGAGGGTACACAAGACGTAATAGAACTCCCCCTTTGACCTGCATTAAAGCAGTCATTACAAACTGTATACTGATGGAAAAAAATCTACACAATAATAACTAACTACCATTTATGAGCGTGGTTTAAATAAGAACGGACTTCCGATCTAATCAGACACATCACGCAATGGCAGGTGGCAGTTTCTGTCCAATGCTTGTGCGGCAGGGACAGGTCGAGCCGACGGGTGGCGAGGCGACAGAGTCCCACAGAGTCCAGCATACTTTTCGCCGTCTGTTAAATGCGCAAATAAAGTGACTGAAAGTCGTACAAATTATGACTTAACCGAACAATTCCTCTACCTCCGGCGAGTTTGAAAGGAACGGTTTAATCCAGTCGTAAACATAACACGACACCGAAGCCTGGTCTTTGACGGATGGCGGCTTCTGTAGACTGCGGGGGAGGAAGGCAGAAGATGCAAGTGTAGGTCGACCTGTGTGTTTTGCCAAGAACTGCGCCCACTCCTGGACCGCCTTTTCCATATCCATGGAAAAACGAATGTATTTATGGAGCTCAGTGCCCATCAGCTCACAGTCAATGTCAGAGTTTCTATAAACCCGGCAAATGCTTGATTAATGATGATTTTGCAAAAAAACTGAAGAAATATTCAGATCTTTATGTTAGATACAAATACTGCAAGTTATTTATGCTCTGGGGAATTCTGCAGTACCCAAAAATTGGGACTTCTTTCGTGATCGTGGCGAATATATTGAGCCGCGTGAGGTCATTCCCGCTCAGGTAAAACTTCCCCTTGTTTTCGTATCCATCAAAACTGTCTGGAAAAGCGCAGCGGAAAGTATTCAGCGGGATTACAGTCGAACTCATTCCCGGAAGAGGAATCTCTGGTGCCATGGACACCAACGATACGACGGTGTCTAAATTCTGCACTAGATCCGACATGGCAGTGAATCTCAGCGCTGCAGAAAGCCTCCACCCCTCGCTGCAAACAAGAAAAAATTACAGTTAGAAAATGGGTCGACCCTACATAGACTGTTAAAATATATAAGTATTACACGTTGCAATTCGGACAACGACAGACGATGTCATGATTCTCGTCAGCATTTGCACCGGGCTGTTGTGCAATCCATTCGTCTGCGCATTTATGACACACTATTCCACTACAGCAGGGCGAAATTACAAGGCTGTGGAACGGACAATCAACGCCAATCATACACTGAACGGAATTCTTCACTTCCTGCAAACAAAACAGGAAAATATAAAAACAATTCGTCAATGCCCATGGGATAAGTTGAGAATTAATTTTGGAAAATCTTAAGACTTAAATTTTGCATTTAATCCGTTATTCAAAGGTGGCTAAACTTACGTATACTGCCTCTAATAATCTTCTTCGGTGATCTTCCATTTTAGGAGTCGACTCCACTAGTAGCGGAATCCTGTAACAAGAAATTCGATTTTTGGTAAATATAGTACAACCTCCATTAATTAATCATATGTAGAGGTATTTCCGCGATTTCAAACGATCAAACGAGAAGTCGTTACTACTAAAATCGATACGAGTATACATGCCAACAGTTTCAAAGAAAAGTCGAATTTTTCAGTTCTCATTTATTCCTGCTGTGTGACTGTTTCAAAGCAGGGATCTTTTCAGTTGCCTATATTGGCTGCAATTCTACGCGAAACTCAAACTTAAAGAAGCAACTCTTCAAAGCCGTCAAGAAAAAATAATCTATAACCTTCTCGCAGTGTAATCCTTTAGGCCACAATGCACGGTGCGCCATGCGAGTCTGCTGCCAACACTGTACAGTACTTACCCATAGATAATGCCGATCAAGTAAATGTGCCAAACGCCAGTCCAGAAAAGTTATGATTATGGAAAGTACCAAGCCACCGCATCAATCAAGGATACACTGTGATACATTCGTATGGTGAGAGAGATCTCCCGGTTTCGATCCCGGCCTGGTTGTATTACCGTCCTGTGGCAGCTGCGGCTTGTGCGGCGCGGCCTGATAATCGGGGCACAATGAGATCCAAAGAATCTGCAATCAGGAAACAAACTGCAATAACGTTTCAGAATTCCCCAATGCTTCCGATCATGTTACATTTCACACAAAGCTCAAGCTGAATAATCCCAAATCGCACGCCTATAAATGGTATTTTCAGTACTGAAATTTTTTTGCTAAATGCGTACTCCTGACACATGTCACATTTCAGCAGAAAACACGATAAATTTATGAAACAGTAATAATCCGTTAAACGGATTGTTAACGCTACTACTTACTAGTGATTTATTGTGAAGTTATGGCAAAACGGAAAAAATAAGTAATGCTAAATAGCTAAAAGTAAACAACTACCTGCCCACAGCTAAACGGGCCGGTCCGGGCGTAAACTGTCGCAGAAAAAAACGCAAACAATACAAAAATGGAAAAGCGCGATTTCAATAAATTATATTTTTAAAAAAACGCGTATTTTTGATAAACCACCGGCAATAATTTACCATAAGCAGTGCATCGAATTGTATGGAAGGGTTAGCTATCTGCACAAAAGCAAAATTAGTGGTCCTAAAATAACTGTTTCAGTTAAACTAGCCCTCATCATAAGCGGAACGTTAATAGTACTTTCGACCCATTATTATGACGAAAAACACGTAAATGCTAAATACAAGAGACCCTTAACTTTACCGAAACCTTCCTCGAACAATGGGGCTACCGGTGGTACTTAAACTTGGAGTAGTACTTAAAATCCTAGTTTATCGCAAAACTGAAGGTTTTTCAGTCTTGCATTCTACCGATAAAGACGCACGTAACAGCTATTTATTAAATTTACCCCCAGCGGACAAAGCACTTACACTACGGCAGGCAATCAGTAACGCGTCGCGCAACCGATAAACGTCCACTTGGGTCGTTGGGGCTGTGATCCTTCTTTTTCGGCTGCAGAAACGGAAACCCAATCACGAAGGCAAGCGCCACTATACAATCAGATCATCCGACTCTTAACCGCAATTCACCACACCGCCGCACTCAGCAAAATAAGGAGAATATGAAACAAGAGGACACCGCAGTTCCTAGTCCATAAAAATGAGAATATTCGTTACAAGGGGAATGATCAACAATTGTAATTCTTTAGATCCGTCAACGCTACGCATCACACAATCATAATCCAGGAGAATTTTGGGTTGAAACGTTGACCGGGATGCTATCCAAATTAAAAGTTCTCAGTGGCATTTACTCGTCGAAAAGTAAAAGTAAAAAACCCGAATATTCCGCGCAATTTTTGGTTCTTCCAGTTTTCTGTGCACAACGATCTCACAGTTCAGTGGAAAAACCTGTTGTCGGAACCCAGCGTCTGCGCATGCGGCACGACTGTGGCTTACCAAAACCGTCTGACGCGCCACCTACCTATCGTTGACTTGCCTTCATTACTTAGTATTAAACGCATACGTACTTATAATTAGTACATCTTACTCACACATTACTAACTATGTTCTTATTGAATTAATTAGTTCAGTTGAGCTTAGTTTAGTTTTTTTCAGTTTAGTTTAACTTTTAATCGTGTTTCGTTTATATGTTTGGTTTGTCCTTTCCTAGCATCGTTTCCTACTCTTACATTTGTGTTAACTCTTACTCCTGCATGACATTTTCGATAAATATTGACAGTGACTACATGCGACCCATATCGACCTAGGCACATTTTTTAGAGCAAATCTGACTTCGGGATAATTCTCAGCACATCTTTCCGATACAGAAACCATTTTTCAATATTCTTCTGGGAAGAAAAACTTAGACTGCCGGGGTCCCTTACGCACCTTTATAACTTTGGGCGGTTGCAGTGACGCCATGAGCGAATCTTTTTCTGGATAAACCGGTATCGCTAATTCTGAATATGCTGTCAGAAAATAGTTTGACCCAATACAAAGAAAATTTTGTTTATAAAGACAAAATTTTGTAAAATCTCTACATAAATATTAAAACTTTCAGTCTTATAACTAATACATTTTTGCTGACAAAATATTAAGAATCAGCGGTATCTAAGAGATCTAAAAAATCTTAAAAATTTAAGACCTCCGATAGCTCTAAGTGATTAAAATACCCTAAGAAATTAAAGAATCTAAAAAGTTTAAGTAATTTTATAAATCTAAGAAATCTAAGTACTCGTATTATTCTATGTAGTAAAAAATGTAAATAATCTATTTGACCTGATTAATTAAGAAATCTAATAATTTAATAAATTAAGAAATCATAGGAATACCATAGGAATATTCAATTCAGAATTGTTGAATCACGGCGGTCGTCTAGTACGATTTAGCAAAGCTTGGTCACGCCCACACCTAGCCTTAGTTTGCAAATGCCTTGTGTTGCTTAAAACTGCCGGTCTTTGTCTTGTTTGCAAAAATCGGTAATTGTATCTGCAGTATTTGCAATTTTGTCTCTACAACTTTTTTTCGTTTTTTTGCTGATATCTTTTCATCTTGGTGGTGCTATTGCTGGGTCGACCCGTGCCAAGTAAGAAATGCCTGCGTTTTGCCGCGAATTTTTGTTCCACAGTAAAAAGTGGTTGTTTTTAGCATGTCGAGCGATGATGAATCGTTATTTGAAGGATGCTTTATAATTGATCCCCGACCTTACAAGTCTCGAGAAGCAATCCTCGAAGCCCTGAAAACAGCTACCACAAGGGTTGTGAAAGAACCGAAAGAAGAGATGAAAAAGGTCGACCTTCCGTCTGAAGAAAAGACGCCTACCACCGCAACATGTGATACACCAGAAGATACATGGGAAGCGCTTCCTGTTCGCGTAAGCTAAGCCCCGTACGATGCAGTGGTGTTATGCATGTTCTGTTTATACAAATTTTCTGCAAATGCGCATAAGTGTTGCCCATATATCATCAAAGTTAAGTAATTTCTATTTATTTTGTTAACTAATACAATGCAAAAAATTTCAGGTACACAAACGTGAAGCTCCTATCAATCAAGAGCCGACCGGGTCGAAAAAGAGTAATGACGAATTCGATGATTTTGACTATGAAAGTCTAGCTTTTGAAGACGAAATGGTCCTACCGAAAAGAAAAACACAAAAGTAACTGATTAAAATTACTTTATAAATTCCATCCTGTTGAAAGCGGTGCTAGGGTCGACCCGTTTTATTTATTCGAAGAGATCTGATTTTAATTACATGATAAATCGCTCATTCGGTATACAGACATAGAATTCAGGATAATTATGCTTTCCATATATACACACAACAGGTCTGAACAGACTACCGATAGGCACTACATCGTATTGCTGACAATTAAATCGCAAGCATTTTCTTATAAAACGCGGATTTGTGCCATCTGGTAGTGTAATGGCACTAAACGGCTCAGTTCTGATATGTTCAACAGCAACATAAATACTTCGCACAACGGATTCAAAAATAACGAATTTTAACAGCTTCACTATTCCGCCATTCGCCGTTTGGAACCAGTAGTTGCACCGCCGCTCTTTTCTGCTAGTTCCGTAACACTCCAGTTCAACACCATCGCTCCGGATTACTCGGTTTCGGAAGCTCCGTGGACAACCTTCTAGCGCTTCTTGCAAATGTCCTATCTTTTCTAGAATTTGCAGTGCCAAATCCGCATCATATATGGGTCGACCCGTTAATTTATACGAAAAATGGGGAGTCTTTATGTCATCGCTAGTGCCAGCCGCTGACTGGTGACAGCGCGAAGCCTCTAAATGTTGATAATTTCGTACAATTTGTGAAGCCACGTCCGTACTGCCATGAACCGATTTCATTAATCCACCCAAAAAGTCCTCAAAGTAAAAGGTCGACCATTGATATGCGGGCCCCCAGTTTTCAAGGGCTGTCGAGAGGTGAATAAGTTGGTGAACGTTAAACAACATCCGACGCTCTCCGTACAATTGTTGAAATCGTTGGCAATAACGAGAAATAAGGCTATGAGCGGTAGCAGCGTGGTTATTTAGTGACCCTCCATAATCCAACATGAGATAGTGCATAGCCATCACTAAATCCAACAGATTTTTGTAAAGCACATGAGGCAACTGTCCATCCAATGCATAAAACGCTCCATACATGAGAAAATTAAGATACTCAGAGGCGTGATACGACGAACATTCCGATATGGGGGGAATTGTGCGGCTGAATTGTGATGGAAAGCTGATACGGGAAATTCGTAGGTCGACCTCAGTCTGAAGATTTGCAGGCAGAATTTTCCTCCTCCGGTTACTGATATTGGTGTAAATAGGGAGACAACACATAGGATCCTGCATCCAGTACTTGCAGAGTTTTTTGGTAACTCCTAAACCAACGGCGTGCAGAATGTCAGGAGGACAATGTACATCGGGACTAAAAGAGGCAATTCGAAACAACCGGCTTGCACGAATTATTCCGTGGCACTGTTGACTGTGCTGCAAAGCAACCCGTGCACTGCCGATATACTCCTTTCGATCTTTTTTTGCGGAAACACCATCGAACGGGTAAACCCGAACACCATCGACTACTTTTCCTGTGTGTAGGCACGCAGTGCATCCGTATTCTCCAGCAAAAGATCCATGACACAAGATGTCATTTCTCGCAATGGTATCAGCCACCCATAATGCCGGCTTTATCGAACTGATTCCGTCCGCTTGGGTCGACCCATTCGCCGCATCTGTAAGTTCCGCTGCAAGGAGCTCAAGGATAATATCCATGTTCGGTTTCACCTTTCCCACCGCAAGGGCAAATAGAAACCGGTCCCGGTAGCGCTTACGCGTAGGAAGCTCGTTGATTATGTAACTAACAACTGTAATTGATCCATTTAAGCTACCATTGAACCCAAACGTTTG